AAATGAATATAAAATTATTTTTGAAAAATAAAGTAAAAATAAAAAAAATAATATAAAATAATATATTTTCACTATAAATTTTAAAAAAGAAACTACAGAATTTAAAAATTTCCTTAACTATATAATTAATTTAGTGAATAAAAAAATAAAAATAGATAAGATATATTAGTTTATATACATGCATATAAATGTATATAATGAATCAAATCGGATATCCGTTTTTAAAAATATGAGTATTTGTGTGTTGCTTGTTTTTGACGGATATTGAATTTTAATACTTGTTTTGATTCGTAAAGTTATGAATATCTGAAATTTCTAGTTATGATCGAAGAATGGACATTTACCCATTTCTAATATATTGTTAGTGAAAGAAATATATTTCGATTTTGTGAACATTAGATACTGAGTATCTTAACAATAAAGTGCATACAAATATCTAATTTCAGGAGAAGGAACATAAATATCTTACTTTTCAAACCTTTTTCGAATGAGTCAACATTTCAATGTAATGCAAATCATCAAAATCTACGAATAGTATATCGGAAATAAAATAATGTAAGGGCTATATACACGTGTCGACGTTGTCCGGTTTCACGTGTTGAGCTAATCACATTAGAGGTAATTAAATGTTTAAAATATGATCAACCTAATGAACAATCAACACGTAACCTGCTAGTTTTGGATGCTTTAGACACACTCACAAGCGTCGTGTCAATCCCTCAGAGATTGAAGTCCTCAAAAGCCGATAATGTTTGCACTAAGACAACAATAGTAACGTATAATCTTGTTCCCTAATTAAAAATGGTCCGTGTTTATGAATTAAGCTGTTGCCACGTGTTTCATTTGTACTTCACCTTTTACCATCAATTTTTCTCGTTATATATATTTTCTGCTAGGTTTTCGTTGTTCCCAATATATCAGTACATTTTTAGATTTTAGCTGCAGTTTTAATTAGATTGTCTAATTCGCCTGATCGAGTGTGATGATAAAACATTAATACATCTTTATTTCATTTTACAAAAATATATATGTAAGAAAGACAGTACATTTGTGCGATCAAAACGCGCTTGCAGTGTCGCGTACGTGTGTTACATATGGATGCGTAGTTTTGGTTACAGTGTAAATATTCAAGTCGTAGTAATATAATAGTAGGAGTTCTTGATTATTATATCAAATAGGTTAATTAAAGTGATGATTATACGGTCTAGTATAGTCTAAGTCTATGGTTTTCCAGGTTGGACTGGTTAAGCTGTCGGCCTGATAACAGGACACGATATCACAATTAGAAACACATGTGAGATCTTGTTTAATAACAGAATTTTGGTTTAGATTTGTGTTCTGGATAGATTTTATTCTACTACCGATTTATCATGGTAAATAATATTTTTGTCAAAAAATAAAAATAAAAATAAGATTTTTATCGTGGATTATCTATTCTATTAAAATAGAATATTTGTATCGATAGAATCCTTTTTATCAACAGGTTTTTAAACTATCAGTAAATGGTTTAATGATTCAAGAACTGATTTCACTAATAATATATGTTTCAAAATATATGAATATTAGCCAATCCAAAAATTTAAGGTTTAAACATATATTTGATTGTATAGATTGTTATTGAACTATCCTATATTTTTTTCATTTCTAATAACAAACAGATTTTGAAAGTATAGCATTTTAAATTCGAATATATATATATTTATATGAATATATTATATAATTATTCATTTTTATAAACAAAAAAAAATCAGATTTCCTAAACCTTTCAAATATATATATATATATATGTAATAGTATATAAGTATATCTTCTAACTTTCTTCATCTCAATAAAATAATAGTATCTCTTACCAAGAAATCATATTTTAGAAATATGTATTTCGTTATTATATATATATATATATATATATATTGTTTATGTAGAAAAAATCAGAGTGCTTAAATTATCTATATTATTAAAAGAAAAGTACAAACATAAAATACCCTTTAGTTTTTCAATTATTTACAATAGAAAAGTATTGAAATTATTAGTTAATATTCTTTTTTATGTTTCTTTGTCTTTTCATGTTTAATTAACGCATTTCTAAAATTAAATTCTAACTAAAAAAATTGATGGCAACAATAATTAATAAACCTAGCTTTTAATATTCTTTGTCTTTTTCTATTTTATTATATATATAATATATATATATATATGTGTGTGTGTGTGTGTGTGTGTGTGTTTGCAGCTAATAAACTATATTTTTATTATTTATTAGTAATAACTAAAATAAAAGTCATGTACAGAATCATTTATATAATGTATAGATTAATATATAGCTATATTATGTTACATATATTTTCATATATATATAAAAATTCAATGTAGATTCAGTATGATAAATATTGAAAAGTATAAAATATATAACACCATATACTTTACATGATATATACAATAATTTTATTATACATTAACATAAAAATTTTAGCGATAAAAAACATTTGTACGGATATACCAAAATCTATGGATGATACAATCGATGGTTTACAAAATAAAATAAAATTACTTAATATAAAATATAAAATTATTATGTTAAAAATGTCATATTAAACAGGTAAAAATTAAAATATATATTAATAAAAAGGAAAAACAAATAATTGCACGGTGTGTGAATGCGATGATCAGGCTCTAGTATCCATTATACATATAACAATGTATATCTTATTATTTAAAAGAAAAACTGAAATTAATGATTATTTTTGTTACATTTTTATATAAAACTATGGATATAAAAATTATTATATTATATTTTTATCAAATTGTAAACTATCTAATAACTTTATAGAATATTCTATATAAAATTCTATCAACAAGATTATAAGTAATTTTCATCATTTAAATTATATAAAAATAGAAATTTCAAATTTAATCTATAAATTAGAAATATAATTTTTACTTTTCAAATGTTCTTGAATTTACTATATTTTTTTCCAATTATGAAAAAAAAAAATCTGAGAATTGTACAACGAGTCCTCCAAAAAGAATAATATACCTCTTACGTCTAAAAATAAGTCCAAAAATTCAAATTAAAATATTTTATTCATATAATTTGAATATAATTGTTGGTAAAAAGTACTTTAAAATTTAGGGTGTCTACATTAAAATTATTAGGAAATATAAATATAAACTCATAAATAAAATTGACTGATAATAGCGGTGGACATAAGAAGTGAAAACCATATCTTAAATGTATTAACATTGTGATTAAAAGTATTTATTTTCCTAAGAATTAAGTTTTTGGAACACATTTAAGAATTAATTATTTATGAAAATTGATAAGTCCAATGAAACAAAAAAAGATAAAAGAGTGTTTTTACGGGATTAATATATTGGAATTATGTTAACACATTAAAATTTCTATGTTTCAAACTTTTTCTTTATAAAATTTCTAAAGTTAATTAACACTGATAAAATTAAGTTGGATAAAATATACCATAATCAGTTTTGATTCATTGATTTTAGCTTAGATTAAAAAATTAAAATTTTAAATTTTATGACTCATCATTTGTGTTATGGTTTAGAGGATGACTTCAGGTCAACTTCATCAATTTATATTAAATCCATTCGGATTTCAGATATTTAAACTAAATAGGTATCTAGTATGATTTTGGTTCAGTTTTAGATCGGTCCCAATCTAAAACAGAACACAAATCCTGATTCAATTATAATATCAATTAGTACTGAAATTGTATGAAAAGACCTAAATATATTCAAAACTCTGAAAACATTTGAATAAGAAAAACACTAATATATATATATATATATATATATATATATAATCTGGAATTTAATTCAGAAACTCAAAGATGTATCTGAGAAGCCGATTTTGAAACTTTTAAAAATATTCAAAATATTAAAAATATCTTTAAACATGTACTATATACAATAATATTTGATCGGGTCTTTGGTTAGGACTCAAATTTGAACCCAAAACCCGTAAATACCATATAGGTTTTCTAGTATAAACCCAGATTTGAATTGAACCTCTACTTTTGGGTGAATTCTAGTTTAGATTTTTGGATCCGGGCAAAATACCCAAACCTAGTTATATGGATTATAAGGAACACTCTACGCAGTTTTTTTTAGTAGAGGGAGAAGAATGGAAGAAAACAAGGAGAATCTGGGATTGTCTAGCAAAGATAATCTACTTAACTATTTGAGATTGTATAATTTGTTTTCGAGAAACAGGAAAGCCAGATATATAGATGAATCTATGGTCAGCTGATAAAGGGGAAAAGACAGCATGAAGACAGCATTTTCCATATATCTTCTAAAATATCTGAAAAAATCATGATCTGAAAGAATTTTTATAAAACCATTTTTTAAAATAAATTTGAAATTCATTACACAAAAATGTAAAAGTGTACTGTTTCCATTCTACAAAAATATGTCAACAATTTCAGTAGCAAAATTATAGTCATATTTATGAACAAGATCTTTACTACTCCATGATTAATACATGTACATTTTCTTGAGTGTGTGTATATATAGAGTCTCTTTCCAATAGTTTTTGTCAAAAGGAGGATATACATTTGGTAAACTAAGAAGGATCTTGACGGGTGTGTGTGTATACATGCATTAGTACTTATTATCAACCAATTAGAAAAGAACACGAATACATACTAATTAGAGGCTATTAAACAAAGTCATTGTATATTAAATAAGATAAAATATGTAGAGTGACTCATTACCTATAGTAGAGAAAATATCTCAGGATTTGCTTTTGGCTCCAGCATGTCAAACTATCTAGATGCCAACACAAAGCGCAAATTAAACAAAAATAAACCTAACAGTAAAGAAAAAGGGAATTGTTTTTTAACTACAAAAGAGGAAGGGGTACATCATCAAAAGCTTATAAAATTGGAATATAGTACAAACCCTTTTGCTTCCTTGCCTCTCATCTCTTTCTCTCTTCTCCATATATACTTCATCTTCACATCCCAAAACTCCACTGTCATAAATCTCTCTCTGCAAAATTCTCCAAAGTTTAAACATTTCAGTACTATTTCTCTCTAATCCAAATCACATTTTCCTCTATTGCAAATTCAAATTCAGTGACATAAAGTGAAATTAAACCCACAAAATTTATTTAAACTAAAACCATATGGATCCTTCATATAGATTCATTAAAGAGGAGTTTCCTACTGGATTCAATGATTCTCAGTCACCACCATCTTCTTATCTCTACTCAACCTCCATGGCCCCAAATGATCCAACAACAACACTAAGCTCTCCACAACCATTAGAAGGTCTCCACGAATCAGGCCCACCTCCATTTCTTACAAAGACATATGATTTGGTAGAAGATTCAAGAACCAATCATATCGTCTCTTGGAGCCAAGCCAATAACAGCTTCATCGTCTGGGATCCACAATCTTTTTCCATGACTCTCCTTCCCATCTTCTTCAAGCATAATAACTTCTCTAGCTTTGTTCGCCAGCTCAACACATATGTAAGTACTAATTTCAATATATATGTATATGTGTGTTATTCTGTCTAAAGAGATATACTTACTAACTCACAATCAAATCGTGACTGCAACTATATTAGGTCAAAGCTTGATTTTGTGGATTTTTCCATGTGGTGCAGTCAAAATTAAATCGAGTTCTTGAGACTTGGTTTTTGATTGGTGTTTTTTCTCAGCGTTTTGAGATCATCAGAGTGGTTAAATAGTGTTAATTATAATATACATGATTGCTTGACGGATTCTTGAGTTTATATATATAAATGCAAGTGGGCATCACTGTTCTCAGAAAACTCTCGAGACTTATTATATTTTACATCCACTTGTATATTTTTGTGTCTTTTTGTTTCTAGATCTCTTGAAACGGACCTCATTAAAATGTTCAACATTTGTTTGTTAGAAATCTTCAAGGAAAAAACCTCTACATCATTGATTGAATGATATGATGTGCAACTAATTTGTTTCTCTCTCTCTCTCTATACTGTATTATATATACAGAAATGAAGTATAACTATATGAAAAATCTCATCTCTAGTTGCATAAAATACACAAATTACAAATGAGATGGCTAGAGTATGTATGGAATGTGTTGGACTTTTGACATATAAGTTGTTTAATCCGCGTTTGGAGTTGAATCTAATCATAAAATTATATAAATAGGGTTTCAGAAAGGTGAATCCGGATCGATGGGAGTTTGCCAATGAAGTATTTCTTAGGGGGCAAAAGCATCTCCTCAAGACAATAAGGAGAAGAAAGACGAGTAACAACAATCAAATGCAACCACCTCAATCATCTTCTCAAGAACAATCTCTTGACAATTGTTGCATAGAAGTTGGTAGGTATGGTCTAGATGGAGAGATGGACAGCTTAAAGCGAGACAAACAAGTTCTGATGATGGAGCTGGTAAAGGTGAGACAGCAACAACAAAGCACCAAAATGCATCTCACATTGTTAGAAGAGAAGCTCAAGAAGACTGAATCAAAACAAAAGCAAATGATGAGCTTCCTTGCCCGCGCAATGCAGAATCCTGATTTCCTTCAGCAACTCATTGAGCAGAAAGAGAAGAGGAAGGAGATAGAAGAAGAAATCAGCAAGAAGAGACAAAGACCGATCGATCAAGGGAAAAGACATGTGGTGTGTGTGGAAGACTATGATGATGATGGTGGTGGTGGTGGTTGTTATGGAAGGTATGGAAAGGATGCTGGATCCTCCTCGGCGTTTTTTGACATGAAACAAGAAACATATGGAGACATGTCAGAGTTAGATAGACTTGCTATGCACATTCAGGGACTTGGAGATCAGTCCAATAGGGAGGAAGTGGTATTGGATGTGGAAAAAGCAAAAGACGAGGAACAGCATAAAGAGAGGTACCAAGAGGAGAACAAGGAGATTTATGGTGAAGGATTTTGGCAAGATTTGGTAAATGAAGGTCAAAATTTTGATTTTGATGGAGATGAAGAAAATGTTGATGTGCTAATTGAGCAACTTGGTTATTTGGGTTCTAGTTCACACTAATTAAAAGAAAAAAAAGGTATTTAGGCATTTATATCAACTTGTTACCTATTGAACATTTGCCTTTGTTTCAATTGGGTGATTCATGGGATTACTTTTTGAACTCGGGGGGTTTAATCACGTTCTTGTTTCTTTTGATGTTTTCTCTTCTTGGTAATAAAATTGTGTTAATTTATTATATTTACTTTTGTGTCACAATTATCCTACAATTCTTATAAACCTATAAGTTTCTCAATAAAATTATCATAATTTTAGTCTAATTCTCCATTTCATTTGAATTTAAAAACTTTAATTTACTCTATGTTAAGTACAGACGGTTCAATTTTTGACGAAATAAATATAAAAAACGCAAAGTCTCTAAGATTGGTATGTTTTTCTACTGGTGATAAATATATTTAAATCATTTTTCTTTATGAAAATATGTTACATAGGAAATTAAAGTGGGGCTATAAATTGTATAAGAAGAAATATTTGATTTTAATATGAAAATTTTCATATATATATATATATATATATATATATATATATATATATATATATATATATATATATATATATAATAGAGTTCGAACACACATGGCATAATTCAAACTCAAATTTATTTAGAATAACTAACATGGATTACTTTACTCCTTACCTAAATTCCCTATATATTATTTGAGAAGTGATTTTGCCACATGTCTTTTGTACAATCATTTTTACAAAAATAATATGAAATGACTACTATAATTGATGACATGACTTATAGCTTAATATGACATGAATAATTACATTTAATGTTAATTTACATTTTTGGTAAACATTTTAAAATATAGTAATAACTCATATATTACATTGTCGATTTATATTTTTAGAATTTTTTTTAGAATATGGTAATAATTCATAAATCGTCACTAAAAAAAAAAAAATATATATATATATATATATATATATATATATATATATATATATATATATATATATATATATATATATATATATATTCAAATATGACATTACAAATATGCCAAGACTCATATATTACATTTAGTGTCGATTTATATTTTTTAGAATATGATAATAACTCATAAATCATCGTTAAAACAAATATATTCAAATATGGCATTACAAATTTTGAAATATCATGTATACAATTTTTTTAGAAAGTTATAAAAATTTCATCGTAAAATAATTAGTTTCTTATATATCTACAAATTTTATAAATATTGTTTAATTTTAATTTTTGATAATTATGCATTTTTACAAATTTTTTTAATATATTTAATTAAAATAAATAGACAGAAAAATATATCTAAGATTATAATTTTAAATATATACATGCATCTTCTTAAATATATTTAAAACAAAAAAAATTATTTTTATCTTAATTTTATGTTTAATTAAATCAAATTTATATTAAAATATTGATAAAAAATTTAAAAATTTAAGAAAATTTTTATTTTTAAATATAATTTATATTATTTGTTAAAAAATGTTTTAAATTTTTTTACTGCATACATAGTGCAAGAAAACACCTAGTTGTATTATACTATCGAAGTTTGATCACACAGCATCTAATTAAACTCAAATTGATATAGAATAACGAACATAGATAACTGGACTCCAGACCTAAATTGTGGTGGACTAGTGGATCCAGTGGATAACATCTAGATTTAAATTAGAGTTTGCAGAAAATACAAATCTCGTAGCTCCACTAGTTAAAGAAAAAAAAAGAAGTTAAATTGCTAGTTTATAGTTTATAAGAAAAATTAATCCTACGGATTCCCAACAAAAAAAAAAAAAGAAAATCGACGTCAGGGTTCGTTGGGAAAACATCTATTGGGAATTCATCAATGTCCCTCAACAAATTTCCGACAAAATCTTTTTCTAGCGAAATAGAGTTGACAAAACATATTCATCTGAAATGGATATTGTCGTCGGGAATTATATGTCTTTTTGTAGGGTTTATCTGCTTATTGATTCATAATTTACTTTTCCATCAATCAGTTCACTCAACTTGTTAAGAAACTATTACACAACACTGATACACGGCTCGGGCTTTTTTCTTTGGCAACACGGCTCGAGCTTTTCATTTTAACACTTTATATGCCTTTACTTTTCATATACTCCCACTTTGTGGAATATGACAGTGCATCTTTCAACCGCTCCATATATTCTTTTAGAAGTATTTAATATTTCTCTCTTGTCTTGTGGAAATGGCAAGTTATCCACTGGCTCTTGATCGTGTCATAATTATAGTCTGAATATTTCCCGAAATAGACAAACCATCAGCTCCAGTTTGCTTTATTCTTTTAGTTTTATGGATGTGGTCAATTGAGAATATAGCGGCAGACAGATAAACAACATCACAACAATTCAATGGAAACGAAGACAACTAGAGTTTCAATTTTTTTTTTGACAACAATAATTAAATTAGGCAACTTTCCCTACCGATTCAGATAACCAAAAATTCAAGGTATAGAACATAAAATATGGCAGAAGAAGAATTTATAGTACAATATGCAAAGTTGTCTGCCACTATATTTTGTGCTTTCGGAATATGTCTGATCTTGAAATTAGGGAAAACGTTTTACTGCGGCGAAATTCCTTTATGTAAATAGCAAAAGCTGAACATTTATCTAGTATCAATACTATCTTCACCAATTGAGAATAATCTTTTTTAAAAAAAAATTCTGAAAATTGCAGTTTCATGAACTCTATAACTGAAATCAGTGCTTTACATCTACATGTAAGGGTAGTAAACTTCTCTGAAAATTCATCACCCACATCATCCTATCGTCTGAGCCTATGGTTCTGCAAAACTATTCCTGCCATGTGAGAGCGTCATCCTCCCTCCAAGCGTCATCAACATAGCAAACTATAATATTATTCAAGGGTTTTAATTACAATAGAATAAAAGTTATCAGTACGGCAGATAAATGATAGTAACAACTACTACTAATTATTTGAACAGTTGGACTAGTGAATTATGAATATAAACTTTTAAATAAAACTTTAGAAAAAATTGAAACAAGGTATTCAGAAAAAAAAATATTTATAGGCAACTAGGAAATGCTTGCATTTTAAATGGTAAACACAAGAACAAATAAGAATTTCACTCTATATAATGTACATCATTTACAATATATATATATATATATATATATATATATTTATTACATATGGTTCTTTATCATTTATTTATGTCAAAAAGTAATAAAATAAATTATTATTTAATTCGAGAAGGAACAATAAATAATAAATATTTCTTAATAGTCATAATATTTAATTTTGTTTTTCTTCATTATATTCCTGATATGTTTTAATGGTTACTAGTTAAAGTCAATTGAATAATGCTTTAAAACTGAAATGTGATGAGTTTATTCTCGGCCATGCATAATCTTAATTAGGTGTTACAACTACCGACTAAGACCATCCGCAATAAGGAGTCCTTAGGGAGAATTCTTAGGAAAATATTAATTTTATAATCAATGGGTCCCATGAACAATTAAGGATTTTATCCTAAAAATCCTTATGTAAGGATTGATACTTACACTATTCGCGGACTCCACTGCCCACATGGCGGTCCGTAAGTGTTCACTTTTTTTTTTAAGAAAAAAATCTGAAATATTCTTATATAATCCGAAATACCCTTTTTTCTTTTTTCCTAAAGATTTCTCCCAAGGATCTGCCATGCTCTAATAATCATGGCTTTGGGGTCGTACCAGTAACAAAGAAAAAATCCATATTTTTTTTGGATCCGACACCATTATAAAGTACTATCCTTATGATTAGACCATATTCCTAAGATTTGATAAAAGAAAAGTGAATTAGCGGTTAATATGTTGTAATTGGATAAGTTATTAAGAATATAACAGAATGAAAGACCAAGAAAAGAAAGAAAAATGCACCAAAATGCAGGGACTGCACCAAACGCTGGTGGTTGTTTTTTGTTGCAAGGGAATGCAACAAAAAAAAACAAAAAATAACGAATAATGAAAGAATTCATATATTGACATTTTGTGCTCATTTCAAGATTTCTGCTTATATTCCCATCATCCACAAGAAAAGTGGCAGGTGAAAGAGATTTCAAACAATATGTGAACATATTTGAAGGAAATCTCTAGAACAACATTTATATGGACAAAACTATATCGTGGTGGTTTAGGGGTTGAAGAATTGTTGTTTCAGGTTAGAGATAATTTTCTTTGAATGTGAAATTGTTAGCTCATCATATGGTTAGGGCCTAGGTGGCATGGATCTCTAAATCCCATTAGGTTTATCTGTCATGGATGAACAGACTCCTAAGAAATTAGTCGGATAGATAAATTCTCAAAAAATTAGTTGGTTGGGTTTCGGCTCGCCGGACACCCTTAATTTTAAAAACATTTATATGGACAGTCAAATTAGTGACATTCCATAGTGCACATAATAACGATTTACAAGATACGATTCTGACTAGCGTCCCAACTCCTCGACAGTGTCAGAAAAACTTGCTAGTCAACAACAAATTACAGACCTAATATTGAATACCCTTGGTCCGCCATTTCATGAATAGGTTGTGTGACTTGTGTATGTCCAACGATTATGCTCGAAAGTATAATATATGTTAGTTGCAGATATATTACATGTGTGGTTGAGAAGAACAAAATCTAGTTACCAACGCACTAGATCACGAATCTGAATATAAATCTGTTGAATAAAAATAACAAACAACACCAAAATGGTAGATCGGGGGATGAATCATGATTATTAATTAAGGAGTGGAGAAAAAAACGACAGTGGCAAGTGGAAGTCACGTAAAATCTGTTCCATTAGTTGCTGTTGAATTTAAGATTGCGTATGCACGTGCTCTACTGTTTTTTTTCTCATGAGTCACTGGACAGTTTGCTCCATATGTCGCTCTTCATTGCTACAAAAATAGAGATAACATTTTACTGTCTTATTAACTTGATTTTGCCCATAACAGACTCACACACTTCTTTTGAATTAAATGATTTTTACAGGTCATCTAACAAACTCTT